GGCAGCTCATTAGATGAACTTGTAGAGGATTGGCATAGCCAACTTTTAGCAGCCATCAATGAGATCACTCCCCGATGCCCTCTGCGCCCTCGCTCTAGGCTCACACCTTGGTTGAGCCAGGAGTTGTGGCTAATGAAGCGAAGGCTAAGACAGATAGAGAGACAGCGGTAGCATGCCCATGACAAAGCTACAAGAACATCTTATAGGACATTTATGAGATCCTATGAGATGGCAGTCAAAGCTGCGGAGACTATTATTCGGCTACAGTTGCGTCTGTGAACTCACACCCAGCCCAGTTATTTAGAACGATTCAGTCAATGACTGTTCTTCTACAAGGCAGATGAAATGTTAGGGAATTGGACAATGGCTGTGAGGCTTTTGCATGCTATTTCGCAGCTAAAGTTTTGTTGTTTGTGACCTCCCTGCCACAGTTGAGCCAGTGAGTGAACTCGAGGCTCCATGCACATCTTCTAGTTAAGTTTTGGATTATTACGGTCCGCTCAACCTAGAGGAAGTTGACAGATTGCTCTTAACTGTATGCCTTGACTCATGCCCATCATGGCTAATTAAAGCTCGTTGCGATGGGTTTTGAGGTGCCCTAAGGGAGATTATCAACAAGTCCCTCTCAGAGGGACTGTTTCCTGGGCACTTAAGGAAGCAGTGGTCCATCCACTCCTGAAAAAGCCTTCCCTGGATCCGGCCGAATTCGCAAATTACCAGCCAGTTTCCAATTTGCACTATCTGGGCAAAATAATTTTTTTTAAACAACCGGAGGGGATTTTTTTAATTATTTTTTAACCACTACAAAAACTACAACAGAAAAAAGGGAGGGGAAGCTACATATACGGGATAAAGAAAAGAATCCACTACTGACTAAAAGCCCAAGAGAGGAGATCCTCCAACTAGCTTAGTTACATCAGTTCTTCTCATCATTGATCCCTTTATAAACTGAGTCAAACATTTATAACACTTTTCCTTTAAAACTTAAATTTAACTGTCTAGAAACAGTACCCCCGATCATCCCATAACAAAAGTCTCAAAGGCACATTTCAGAGTCCTTCAGCCTTTACTTCTCCTTTCCCCTTCTCTTCCGCAGCTTGTAAGGACTTTTTGGGGCTGCTGCCCCTTGCTCTGACAGAGAGTCCTCACCGGAAGAACCAGAGTCTAGCTCGCCGCTGGACTTGCTGTCCTCTTCTTTTTTCCCGTCCTCTGGCTTTCCCAGCTGAACCCTTAGGAATTCTTGAGCTTTCAGAACAGAGTCAATCTTTTCTTTTTTGTCTTTAATCTTAAAAGTCACGCCTTCTGGAAATAGCCATTTATATCCAATTGAGTTTGTCTGAAGAAAAAGCACCCTTTGTACTTCTTTCTCCGTTGTCTTACTTCAAATGGAATATCCTTTAGCGTTCTGATGTTATTTCCCCCCGCTTTCAGGGGTATTCCAGCAACCGCTTTCAGGATTGTATCCCTTACATGCCTCTTCGAGAATCTTACCACAATTTCCCCAGGCAGATTATTTTTCTTTATGTAGCCGGAATATGATCTATAGACCACATCCATGTTGTTGATCAGCAATTCCGCCTTCATTTCTGTCATTGGGGCTAACAATTCACTCATCACTTCTTTAAGATTCTCCCCTCTATTGTCTGGCATGCCCTGGAAACGAAGTATCATGTTGGCCTTTTCCATTTGAACTTGCAACAGTTGATCTTCCATGGAGACTTGTTTTCTTTCCAGCTTTTGCACTTTCTTCTTCACCTTCTGTGTAGTTACAGCCACTTCCTTTACCTTCTCAGCATCTTGCTTCATTATTTTTATCAAGTTGTTTATCTGAGTTTGTTGCGCAGTAATGCTTTGAGTCACTATAGACATCTGTTCCTTGAAGTTATTCAGCTGTTCCAGTAGAGGGCGCATGTAATCTGCTACAGACTTTGCCACATCACTGGTAACTTCCGGTTTTGGGCTCTCAAACCCTTTCACTTTCGAAAGTTTTTCTCTGTCCTTATTCCCCGCCATCTTTTTCGTTTGTTTACTTTCACGAATTTTTTAAAAGTCTCTGAATGTGCGCTTGACCACTTAAATTCGCTTTGGTAAGTACTTCTAGGCAGTTTCCCTCACGTTTTCTTCTGCTCCCCCCCTCAATCGCTCAAAGGTTCGTGTGCATGGAAGGTGTTTCTCCCCCGCTCGTTTTTTCTCCATTTGGTGGGGTGGGGTGGGGAGCGATCTTTTTCCCTTTACAAAATGATTCGGAATTGACTCACGTTTATAATTGGTCATTCGACCTTGCTTTCATTTCATTTCTGCCGCACAACCTCCTGCGCTTGCCCCAGTTAGCGTCACTAAGCCCATTCAATCTCACAGCACGGAGAACCGTCGGAATGAAGAGGCGCCTCAATTCTCCGGCATTCCGCCGTCAAAGAGGCGACCTCTTAGAAGTTCCCTGGCCAGGGTCCCTTCCCCGGGCCCCTGGGGGGGTTGCGAGCCTGCGCACCCCCTTCTTCGGCTGGAGCGCAGCTTCACCCCCAGGACGTCCGGGAGGTGAGTCTGCTAGCGCACCGCCATAAACCGGAAGTCTGGGCAAAATAATTGAAAGGGCCATGGCAATCCAGTGACAGAATTTTTTGGATGGCATTTCCATCTTAGATCTCTTCCAGTGTGGTTTTCGCCCAGGCCTCATGGACAACCTCTGGAGGCATCTGGATTGGGGTGGATTGGCAGTGCTGTTGTTGTTTGATCTGTTGGCAGCATTCAACATGATTGGCCATCAGTTACTGATCCACCGCATTGCCGACACTGGAGTCCATGGGTCTGCCTTGCAATGGCTTGCCTCCTTCCTTCAGGGTCGGGGACAAAGGGTGGCATTAGGGGAACAGCTATCCCAAAGTCATGCACTGACTTGTGGAGTGCCCCAAGGGGCGGTTCTTTCCCCGATACTATTCAACATCTATATGTTTCCCCTTGCTCAGATTGCCCGGAGGCATGGGCTGGGATGTCACCAGTATGCAGATGACACTCAGCTCTATCTGTTGTTGAGTGGCCTGTCTGACTCTAAACTGGAAGATCTGGACCGGGCGTTACAAGTCGTGGCTGGATGGCTTAGACTGAGCAGATTGAGATTGAATCCAATGAAGACAGAGGTCCTGTGCTTGAGCCTTGGTGGCCCGAGGGTAGGGATCCCACTCCCGAACTTCGATGAGGCTCCACTGCTGCCAGAGGTTAGGAGCTTGGGAGTGCTCTTGGATGCCTCCCTAACAATGGAGGCCCAGGTAGCAGCCACTGCCAAATCAACCTTTTATCATCTTCAGCTGATTAGGCAGTTGGTTCCTTTCCTTGAATGCAACAACTTGGCAATAGTGATCCATGCAATGGTCACCTCGACATTGGACTACTGTAATACTCTCTACATGTATATGGAGCTGCCCTTGTCCCATGTCCGGAAGCTACAGCTAGTGCAAAATGCTGCAGCCAGGCTGTTGATGGGTATCCCTATACAGGATACCTATCCAGGACACCTATGCAGGATACACATCCAGCGTGTACTGAAGGCACTGTACTGGCTGCTGATAGCATACCGGATTCGTTTCAAGGTGCTGGTTTTAACCTTTAAAGCCTTATATGGCCAGGGTCCAGCACACCTGAGGGACCGCCTTTCCCATCATGTTCCCCAGAGAGCACTACGTTCAGGGTCCCAAAACTGACTGGCCCTCTTGGGTTCCAGAGACACCAGACTGGCCACAACCAGGGCCTTCTCAGTAATGGCTCTGTACTGGTGGAACGAGCTCCTAGAAGAGATCAGGGCCCTGTGGGACCTTTTACAGTTCCGCAGGGCCTGCATGATGGAGCTCTTCCACCAGGCCTTCAATCAAGGAGCCACATCAAATAACTGAAAAGTGACAGAGCTCTGTGCCTTCGTTTTACCATCAACAGCCTGTGCCCACCACATAAATATACCATGATGAGCTGACCATCAATATAGACCACCTGAACATACCATCATGATGTTGCCACCATCTTTAAGCAATACTATTAGTATTAGACCTACTGTGGCCCTGTTCATATGAGGCGTTTTGGGCCGGGAGGGGGACGGAACGGGGGCGGAGTAAACGGGCGCGATCCCACGGCAACATCTGGGAATCGTTGCCTGCCCATCCCTGATCCGTCCCTACCGCCGAAATCGCGCACTAAAAAAGAACCACCTACCTAGGTGGTTGTTTCCAGTAGAGCGCTGCAAGCCGGGCCGTGGGATCGGCTGGTGTGTCCTTGCGCCGCCGCATCCCGGCCCCCGGCCGTACTGCGCATGCTCGAGCATGCGCAGTTCGGCAGCCTCCCCCTCCCATCCGACTCTTCCTCCCCACCATCTGATCGTGCCGGGGAGCGCCGCGCCGCGGCGTCTCAACGTTGGTGCGGCTCAGATTAGCTGCAGTTCAGCCGTCCTTTTCCCTGCCGTGTGGCAGGGACCTGTTACTAGCACTTTACGATTGTTGGATTGTTTTATGATTATTTTATCATTGTTATTTCTGTGCCTTAATCTTTTATGTAAGCTGTCCTGAGACTGCTTTGGTGGGGAAGGCGAGGTATAAATTGAACAAATAAATAAATAGAAATAAGGAATCCATGAGCTTGGGTATCTAAAATGTGGGCACCTTACCCTCTTCCTCCCATTTTGGAGTTTGATCAATATTTAGAGGGAATTCAGTGTGTTATTAGATTCTCTCTTCCTTGCTTTCCCAGCCAGAGCAGGATGTATGTGTGGTTGAAGAAAAAAAATGTTAACAGCTCTTTTAAGGTCAATAACATCCAAGGCACCAAAGATTTCTTGGAAGGCCAAGCCGTATAGGAACTATTCAGGTATATCTGACTGGTGGACCACGTCTATTAGACATAGCTTCTGTAGCCTTTTTTCCAAAAAGACTAAATAACTGGCCAGTTCTGAATGTCAACAGAAAATGTATAATTATATATACATTTACACCCTTTTTTTTTTTTACAATATTATCTTGCAGTCTGAAAAAGTTCGCTGGAACCACTCTATTAAAGTATTTGAAACACAAGAAATAACAGTGTGTGGGGATGTTCTATTAACAGCAGCTTTTGTTTCATACGTTGGACCCTTTACCAAACTATATCGTCAAGAGCTGGTACACCGTATGTGGCTTCCTTTCCTGAAATCACAAAAAGTATGTTTTTATATTTATTCTTATTTAAACATTTCTGTCCCAACTTTCTCTCCATCCAAAATGGCTTACAAACAGCTTGTATCAAATAGGCACCACACACACATTTTTGAAGCAATGTACACCATAAATAAAACACTGGAGCTTCCAGCCTCCTGGCAAAGCCACTGGAGGTCCAGGGGCTTTTTTGCCACCCCAGAGGAAGCCGGGGCAGCAACAGAGCCATGACGCACTGCATCATGACGTGGGCAGGGGGGCGGAACCGGCTCTGCTGGTAAAGGCTGGGCTCTGCTCCTGCCCGATGTCAGTTGCTCTGTGTGCTCGCTTTGAGCACGCAGTGGGTGAGAGCGGCGGTCTACTTCGTAGGCCCAAGGCGGCGGCGGCTTCGTCGACTGCAGTGGCGGCTGCTCGCAGAGGCAGCTGCACAGTCGATGGCAGCTCTTGGTGGCGGTGACAGTTGTTCCCTGTCGAGAAGTTCACAGCTGCATTTCCAGTTGACGGCTGCTTAGAGCGGCAGCGGGCAGTGGCGTTTTTAAATGGCAGTGGGTGGCAGGACAGGAGGGAGCAGTCTTTCCCCTCTGGGAAGAGAGTCCCCAGAGAGTCAACAATTGAATAAATAAATAGCCGGTGGTAAAGGGTTAGGCAGCAGCTCCCAGCTTATTTTTTGCCTGTAGAGGCTTGTGACAGCGGAAGCGGCATTGGGCAGTGGGGATCTGGGTTAGGGGTCGTGGGTGGCGGTCCATAGGGCTACCCTTGTCAATTAGCGGCAGAACCCCCAGTAGCAGCCCCGTCCCAGCAGCCGTTTTTTAAAACAAAAAACACACACAGGCCCAGGAGGAAGCAGTTGCTAGGCTGTAGAGGGCCCTTTTGGGGGTGGCTGATGGTTGTAGGCGCGTTTAGTGGAACGTTCTCAGAGGCTCGGCTTGGACAGGCCAGGGGCAGTTGGTGGCCAATGGGGAATTTGAATAAACGGCCAGGGAGGTTTTGGTGGGCTGCAGCCCCCTAGTGGCCACTTCATGAAGTGATTTAGAGGCTACCATCTGGTGAGAGACCTGTGGGTGGCAGCCATCTTGGGAAGGGCCTTGGCAGTAGCTTGCCTTGCCATCCTGAGGGCTGGATAAGGTGGCCATTTTTTTACCCTCCAAAGGCAGCCATTTTGGGAGGAGCATTATAGGGTGGCCATTTTAAGCTATTTTGATTGACTAACATAGTGATTGACACTTTGACTCTTTACTTTTAAAGCCACTTTTAGGTGAGGAAGCGAAGGTCGCATAGCACTTCAGGGCAACAAGTGCTAATTTAAGAGCAATTAATTTAGGCAATGGCTCCTAAGAAAGGCCAGGGGAAGGCCAAGGGTAAGCAGCCGGCCCCTAAGAAGCAAACATCCCAGAAGCCCCCACAGAGGTCCCCCATTTTAGACTCCTCTAATGAGGATGAGCAAGAGCCTGTCAACGCCACCATACTAGAGAAGCTAGCGGCATTGGAGAGCCGACAGGGCGGGGTTCCTCCTTTGCGTGAGGTGTCTAAAGCTTCTTCCAAACAAATAAAATTTTAATCCATCAACCTTAACGTATAATCCCCCACCTACCCAAATAACGATGAGAAAAATTCTCAGCCTCTGACCAAAGCCACCTTAATACAAAGTGATTGCCAGGTGTGGAGATTTTACATATTTAGGTTTTGTTTAGCAGCAGATATTTCTGAAAATGCAGTGCTGTTCTGAGAAATGACAAGTTCTGGTCACCTGTTTATCTTTTTAGAAGGAACTGAATGTGTAGTGTTGCTAAGTGTTTTCTTTCTACCCTTATCCACAATAGTATTTTGGCAGCTGTGTTGTTAACTCTACTATAGCTATATTTCTGTTTGATTCAAAGATTCCCATTCCAATCACTGAAGACATAGACTTGGCTGCCATATTGACTGAGGATGCAGTGATTGCAGCATGGAATAATGAAGGGCTGCCTAGTGATAGAATGTCCACAGAAAATGCTGCTATTTTTACAAACTGTGAACGCTGGCCACTGCTAATAGATCCCCAGCTACAAGGCATCAAATGGATAAAGAATAAATATGGAACTGACCTTAAAATCACACATCTAGGACAGAAGGGGTATGTGCACATTTTAAAAATGTATCTACATATTGTATGCATAAATGGTAACATGATACATTTTCCTGTCCACCTAAGAGAGTTTTTAACCCATATATGCCAAAGTTGACATTTCTGTTTTGGAACAGGCTTTCTGTCCTTTCTTTTAAATCTGTGCTTATCAAATCTGCCAGCACGGAATCCTCCTAATCCTTCTTATAAGCAACAAGTGCCGCAGGGATCAGTACTTGGTCCACTGCTTTTTAACTTATACATTAATGATTTGGAGTTGGGAGTAAGCAGTGAAGTGGCTGAATTTGCGGATGATACGAAGTTGTTCAGGGTGGTGAAAACCAGTGAGGATTGTGAGGCACTCCAAAGGGATCTGTCAAGGATGGGTTCAATGTGATGCACATTGGAGCCAAAAATCCTAAATATAAATACATATTGATGGGGTCTGAACTGGCAGAGACTGATCAAGAGAGAGATTTTGGAGTTGTAGTAGATAACTCACTGGAAATGTTGAGACAGTGTGTGACTGCAATAAAAAAGGCCAATGCTATGCTGGGGATTATTAGGAAGGGTATTGAAAACAGATCAGCCATATCATAATGCCCCTATATAAATCAATGGTGCGACCTCATTTGGAATACTGTGTGCAGTTCTGGTCACCACACCTTAAAAAGGATATTATAGCTTTGGAAAAAGTGCAGAAGGTCGCATAGCACTTCAGGGCAACAAGTGCTGGTTTAAGAGCAATTAATTTAGACAGTGGCTCCTAAGAAAGGCCAGGGGAAGGCCAAGGGTTGATAAAAGGGTTGGAACACTTTCCCTATGAGGAAAGGTTAAAGCACTTAGGGCTCTTTAGCTTGGAGAAACGACGACTGAGGGGTGACATGATTGAGGTTTATAAGATTATGCATGGGATAGAGCAGGTAGAGAAAGAGGTACTTTTCTCCCTTTCTCACAATACAAGAACTCGTGGGCACTCCATGAAATTGCTGAGCGGTCGGGTTAGAACGGATAAAAAGAAGTACTTCTTCACCCAAAGAGTGATTAACACATGGAATTCACTGCCACAGGAAGTGGTGGCGGCTACAAGCATGGACGGCTTCAAAAGGGAATTAGATAAGCATATGGAGCAGAGGTCCATCAGTGGCTATTAGCCACAAGGTATAGAGATAGGGGCTCTGGAGCAAGTGATGCTCTGTCTTCTTGGTGCTTGGAGGGGGGGGGTCAACAGTGGGAGGGCTTCTAATGTCCTGGCCCCACTGGTGGACCTCCTGATGGCACTGGTATTTCTGGCCACTGTGTGATACAGAGTGTTGGACTGGATGGACCTTTGGCCTGATCCAACATTGGCGTCTCTTATGTTCTTATGTTAAGTGCTCTACAATAATGTATCTAGCTGTTAAATTTGAAGGTGTGCTACAGAAAATGCTCCCTGGGTGCTGTTCTCAAATGCTACAGAATGGAAGTTCTCTTTGTTTTAGGGACTCTCTCTAAACCAAGCATACAATTGTTCAAGCTTTCCTAAGTGTGATGAGGACAGTTGTCCTCATTGCATTCTGTTTAGTTTTCAGACAGAGGGAAAAGGTATCTGTGCAAGATAAAAGACAGGAGCAAGGACATATAGTTTTAATAGCATGATGTTTCCAGGTGCACGGGGACAGGAGCAAGGACATATAGTTTTAATACCATGATGGGATGGTATTTCTGGTAAAATAAAAGCTTAACCTCTTACATAATGCTTTGCATTAATGCATCTGGAACTGTGCTTCTGACGTAGTGTAGGTATGGAGCTTGTCACTGCTCTGGTGCTTGGCCTTTTCAAAATAGGAAAGGGGAAGCGGAGAAGCACATGCATCCGTTGATAACACTCCACACTTCCCTCTTCTAGAATATAGAGAGAAGAAGGCATTCACAAAACACTGATATGGTGTAGCATGCTCACGTAAATGGGTTTTTCAATTACCTTGTGTTTCCTGCAGCTACACCAGCCAGCCACCAATGACAGATTTTGTCACTTTCTACTGGCACGTACTACCTCAACCTCAGTATCTTTTTCTGATATCTATTTTTTATTTTATGTGAAGGTTCTTAAAAACTATTGAAAGAGCTTTGACTTCTGGAGATACAATTCTTATTGAAAACTTGGATGAAACAGTGGACCCTCTACTTGATCCCCTGCTTGGAAGAAACACAATTAAAAAAGGAAAGTAAGTGCATTAAAGAAGAAGCAAAGGACAGAGAATTATCATTTATCTATCTGTGACTCCTTTTTCTGATCATTGTTCTTAACCATAATCCTGCAGAGTGCAGGGGGTTGGACTAGATGACCTGCAAGGTCCCTTCCAACTCTAACATTCTATGATTCTCTTACTAAAATGTATTTTACTGATTAGAAAGTATGCGTAAAACATTTACATTAGAAATTTGGATGTATTGCACAAGTGTCTATATTTTCATATGCACATCAGAACTCTTTAAAACTGTTTGAATAATATATTGTCAGTGGGTACTTGTGTGGCCATAGACTTCCATATACTCCATTATTATTTATTTATTTAGCAGGGCTTAGGGCAGGTTACAACAATAAATACATCTGCCGCCTCAACCATATGCCTGGCGGAACATCTCCATTTTACAGACCCTGGGGAACTGTAATAAGTCCCTCAGGGCCTTGATCTTACTTGGGAGAGTATTCCAGCAGGCAGGAGCCAGAGCGAAAAAGGCTCTGGCTCTGGTTGAGGCTAAGCAGATGTCCTTTGGGCCGGGGAACTCCAGAAGATGTTGATCTGTAAAGCGTAAGGCTCTTTGAGGGATGTACAGTGGTGGTATATACCACCATTGGTGTCCCTGGCTCTTCACAGAGTACAAGACAAGTTTCTGCCCTGGAGTGCATGCAGGCCAAAGTTTACAACAAAAAAGCCAGTGGAGGGTGGTAAAGATAAACAGATGAAGAATGTTTGTTTATTCCAATTGTACTTACTGAAGCTTAGGCCCCTGCCACACGGCAGGGAAAACACGAGGCGAAGCGCGGCTTTTAAAAGCCGCGCCAAAAAAGAACCGCCGCGGCGGGATCCCATGGATCCCGTTAGCCGCGCGCCATTGCTCCCCGGCACAATCAGATGCCGGGGAGGAAGAGGCAAGTGGGAGGGGGAGGCTGCCGAACTGCGCATGCTCGAGCATGCGCAGTTCGGCCGGGGGCCGGGATGTGCCGGCACAAGGACGCGCCGGCCGATCCCACGGCCGGCTTGAGGCGCTTCAATCGGAAGAACCACCCAGGTAGGTGGTTCTTTTTGGTGCGGGTTTTCGGCCGGGAGGGACGGATCGGAGACGGGCAGGCAACGATTCCCAGATGTTGCCGTGGGATCGTGCCCGTTTGATCCGCCCCCGTTCTGTCTCGCTCCCGGACCAAAACCCCTCGTATGAACAGGGCCTTAGTTTAAGTAGGGAATGAAGACCAGAAGATTGCGCCAAAGGAGGTAAGTGAAATGATGTCACACAGGTTTTCTGAGAGAAAATTCTAGGACAGTAAGAGAGAACAGGTGGAGTTTAATCTGAGGAAGTAGGATACTCTTGGACTGTTGAGAGAAGTGAAACTGGAGGAACAAATGTTTTAGGTAATGTGTGTCTCATAATATAAGAATAGAGACATGAGAAAGGGCAAGGCCATGAAAAGTTTTGATGGTAAGGACAAGGAACTTATGCTGGATCTCTGAGTGGTTATTACCTGAACAGAATGGCAAGACAGTTGGATGATTTTGGTTGCAGAGAGATGAGTAAAGGGTGAATTGGAGACTCTTTGCTGGAGGGGTGAAGAGAGCACCATGTTTTTCTAATGTTGGAAATGGAGAAGCAGCATGACTTTGTAGCAGTCTAACTGTGGGAAATAAAGGAGAGTAGTTAGTTGGGGCTTCATGGCTATTCTATAAGATGGATAATGACATTGTCAGTTAATACAGAGTACCAAGAAGGAGAAGGCTTAAGAGAAAAGATGAGCAGTTCGGTCATGGACATGTTAGATTGAGACTGCTATGAAAAATACGTGGAAATATCAAATATGCAATTGGAGATATGAAACTGGATGGGATAAAGATCAGGGTAGAAATGTAGAGTTGGGTTATCAGGAGCATATAGCTGGTATTTGGGATTTGATGTATCAGCTAGTGATAGTAGGTAGAAAATATAAGAGAACCAAGAAGAGATCCCCAGGGACCCTAGTGGACAGAAGAAAAGTAGAAGAACAGCAACTTTGTGTGCCATGGGAGTCAAGGAGGAAAGATGGTATAGTATTAAAGCTGGAAAACAGGTCAAAGAAAATAAAGCTGGAAAACAGGTCAAAGAAAATAAAGCTGGAAAACAGGTCAAAGAAAATGAGTAAAGATATGAGATCATCTGTTAGTTTGATGATGACAGTTTCAGTAGAGTGCAAAGGCAAGAGTCCAAATTATAGAGGATTGAGAGGAGGTGGAGCAGAGAAAATGGAGGCAGCATAAGTAGGCAAGGGTTTGGATGCAAAAGATAGATTAGCTGACAGTTGAAAAGAAAGCATGAGTGAAAGGATGACTTTTTGAGAACAGGAGACATAGTGCAGGTCTTGGCAACGTTCCTGTGACTCTAAGGATCACCCCCAAAATTTAGGAGATAAACTCAATTTTCATTCTTCAGTGTTTTGTTTATTAATTACCATATTTTCTCATTTTGCTACCACAAAGCCTAATTATTCTCAGTTTAATTTATTTATTTATTTGTATCTTCAATTTATAACCCGCCGTCCCTGCATGGCAAATCTCAGGGAGGGAAACAACAATAAATTAGGTTAGAACAGTTCTAAAATGTATAGTAATCAATAAGATGGCACATAAAGAGAGTACAAATGGTGCCCCATTTCCTAGCAGTAAGTGAAGGGGGAGAGAAAGATAGAAGGAAAAAGGAAGAAATCAGCCTAGCTAGAGAGCATCACTGTCCTCAAACATAGGCCTAGAGGAACTTCTCTGTCTTACAGGCCTTGTGGAATTGTATCAAATCCCACACAAGACCCAGATCTCGCTTGGTAGAGAGTTCCACGCTCCATCAGCCATTGGCCTGTCAACCGTCACTCAAGAGTACTTGCGTGCCATTGGCTGGGTGCTGGGTCCGCTCCTCTCCCCCACCCACTGCTATTCCCTGTCTGAATAAACTGCCAAAATCGCTGTGTGGCTCATTTTCCCCTCAGTGGCTGTTGCAAGGCAAACAAGCTTGGTAGTCTTGGAGGCCCTTTCCAGGCCTACTTTGGCCTTTGTGGGGAACTCACTGGGGCCAGTCCTGACTAGGGTTGCCAGCTCCAGGTTGGGAAATTCCTGGTGATTTTGTGGTGGAGTCTACAGAAGCCAGAGTTTGGGGAGGGGAGAGGCCTCAGCTGAATAGAATGCCATAGAATCCACCCTCCAAAGCAGTTATTTTCTCCAGGGGGAGAACTCACTGGGGCCAGTCCTGACTAGGGTTGCCAGCTCCAGGTTGGGAAATTCCTGGTGATTTTGTGGTGGAGTCTACAGAAGCCAGAGTTTGGGGAGGGGAGAGGCCTCAGCTGAATAGAATGCCATAGAATCCACCCTCCAAAGCAGTTATTTTCTCCAGGGGGAG